CCCCCCCCCCCAACATACACACACATAAACACAATAATATCATATCATTTCTTCTGTCCTCAGTTACAAGCTAAATTCCAAGGCACAACCTGACCTTGTGATCAAAACTTCTATCTGCAGCCATCCATGATCTTGCATACTTTATAACTTTATATAAATGTTAAATAGACATTCAAAGGGTTTCTAGAATCACTGAAACATGACATCTGCCTCGGGACACTCAGTACTGTGTGGGCTGCAACAGCTTTGCTATTTGGCAAAATTCTAATTTTTTCATTAACAATAACACTTCATTATCAATAATTTATCTTTCTCTTTCAACAAATTAAGTAAGCCCCGTCCTGATGCCATTATCTAGGGCAATAGACAAGTGTTATGCTGAAAGTGTTTACATTACTAGTAAATTCTTTCACCTGATATATGTCCAGTTATAAACCCCCCTTTATACTGGACATCGTCCTTTCTGCGACCATGAAACTGGCATCGTTGTAGTCGTAGAAAGGAACCTCAAGCATCTCTTCGGTTACAAAATCAATGCTCAATGATCAGCCAGTTGTCGGTACGTCAACTATTTTTCTTTTACCCTCAAATGGAGCTGTGCCACAGGACGCAGAAAGGATGCCGACTAAACAACGAAGGGGACTTAACAACATTCCTCAGTCTGGTGCAGCATGTACGTGATGCTAGAAACCCTTTTACCAAATGCATTATGTGTAATAAAACTTACCTGTTGTGGACCAGGGCTCATTTTCCTCCCCATCTGTGGAGCATTTGGTGGAATACCCGTCGGCGACAGAGGTCCACCGAATTTGCTGCCATTACTTGTGTCCACTCTCAGTGGTGTGTTATAAGCCAATTTGGATTTCCCGTCTCCTCCGCGCGTCCCTTCTTCCAGTAACTGGCTCATGGGAGTCATGGCTTTCACTGGAGATCTGGAGGCCATTAATGGATCTAGATTATGATTTGGACTATTTGTCCCCGGTCGTACTAGATCCGGTCGTTTGCCGACAGACTGTGCTCGCGGGCGTATTCCGTCAAGGCCACCTGTGACTTGTAGTGAAGAACTTGTAATTGGGGCCGCAACCCCCGCGGGTCCACTTTTCCTCCTTGGACGGCTCATGGCCGCTGCATCGGACTTGGACCGAGGCCGAAATGCGTCAAAGAAAGTTTTTACTTTAGACGTCCCACTTCCACTTTCTTTCTCTTTTGGTGATCCACTGGCTGAGTTGGGGCCTGAACCGACAACCTCGCCCGATTTGTGGCGCTGCCTTATCTTATTTGGGCGAAATAGTGATTTAAGTCCACCCGATCCAGAACGAGGCCGGAACTCTTCAGAGCTTCCTGGGGGTTCCAATGCATCCTGGTCTAGAACGGGCATCGCAAACGAACTCAGGTCCTAGAATAACAAACACAAATGATTTACGATAATGTCAACAATATTCAGTTGTTGTTGAAATTATACTAGTTTCAGTAAATTTTTGGGACTTTTTTTAGCTTTTCAACAGCTTATCAGGAACATGTATCCTAGAAAACAAATTAAATCATTTGAATGTACTAATGTCATAGACCAACAACTGTTAAAGGGATCACCAGTGGATTGGGATTCTTATCCTGTTTACCTATAAAACTGAGAAAATGAATAGAATATTAATCTTTTTACTGATACCCATGTTAAAGCAGTGGTTCATTTCTATTAGTTTATGCTTTCCTTTTCTAAGTTTAACTTTTTATAAACAATATTTTTTTTAAATTGGAGAAAAAAAAATTGCTTTAATTTCTGATGCCAGACTAAGCTGGGTGCAGATTAGGCACAAGTTAACTCTCCTTTGCCAGTGCAAATATTTTCTCCAACCTGTGCTTTGACAGACTGAGTTACCAAATACAGCCTATTATATTCTGCAGCATTTATTTTGGACAACCTTCTCCACCCAACAAGATGCAAGTCAAACAAATTCTTCTGCGCTAAATAAAATTTAATTCATCAAACTTTCTAGGTTGTCATGTATATACATCCAATGCCATGCAGAGAGGAATTACTAAAGGGCATTTATCGATTATATGTCAGGTCAGTCAGCATCTGATTCCACAGAATAACACAAACTGGAGCACGGGATATAAACACATACATGTAGCCTAATAATACACTGCAAACACACCCAATGTTTTCCTTTCAATAGAAACACCCTACAACCAAGTCCACAATTGTAGCCATCTTTGATAAACTAACATTTTTTTTCAACACTGCAATTGATTTAATTTATACACAGAGTAAAATAATACAGAAAACATTACTGAAAGCATTCAACTGCCATATAAACCATGTTTTTTGTTTACTCTTTTTGATGGTTATTTGTTTAAGGTCTAAAAATAGACACGGCGGTAGAGCAAAACAACTTGTTTTTTAATACCTGTGCAACGGTGTGAAATCAAATCATGACTATGTTTAACTCTGCACATTGGCCCGCTTTGAGGCTTTTGTTCACAAAAATTAAACCTACTAAAACAGTACGTGATAAACTTTTATCATAACAACATGAGAAGAAAGTTCACTACAATACAATAGTTTTCACCTGATAAACTGAAAAAAAGTTTACAAATGTGTTGTGATCCATCAATGTCAATGTGAAGTGCTTGAAGTTCACGCTTGGTCAAATTTAAGATGGACTTTTCAGGTCACTTCCCTCATAGCTATGGAGAGAGGTTAGGGTCTGCACTGATGGTACATACAGGGGCAGATACAGAGATATTTTCTGACAGTCTTCCAAATTATCTTTGTTGATCCGTTCTCTATAACTGACCATCTTCCCACAGAAGGAAAAAAAAGTTAGTTACTCGTTCACATAAACTTGGAAATCTGACCGCCTTCTGGAAGACCCAGATAACTGCCTGAATCCGCCCTTGTAAATATATACTTATCTTCATGCATTGACTGCTGGTGAAGCACTTAGGGGGCCTTGATACCCTTCTGCATAAAAAAGAAGGTAACATAATACAGTGATGTATGGAGGGTTAAAACTGCCCCCCTCCCCCTTATTATACCGTTTGGGCCCAACATTTGGAGAAAATCATCAAGATACCCCCCCCCCCCCCCTCTTCTCCATGTCTACTACCTAATAGCACTGCATTAGTGAAACATACCAATCAATCCAAAACCAGAATTAACATTTTGATCAAATTCAGCAACATGCTCCGTATAGGTAATCACATTATTTACAAATTGCTTGATTCTATTTGTAGAAAGGTTTGACCTTCAGAGAGAAAAACAACCTGGGAATCAGCCTGGTCCGTGATTTCTCATTTACTTGAATACACAGCAGTCGACCAAAAAAATAGCTACCATGCTGTAGAATCTATGGCTAGTGTACCTGAATGAACTGACAAACAATATGTGTTCAACAACTTCTGAAAATATTACACCTGGCACTGAAATTTGACATTGTTATAAACTTGATGATGATGATGAACATTTTTTTTTTTTAAATTTGGAGCAGGAACCAAATCTACAGGCCTATTTGCGTTTAGTAGCAACAGAGTGAAAGATGTTATTGCCAAGCACTGAGGATGGGTTTATCTTCAGACTCAGGGTAGGGGGTAACATGTTAGGAATTTTTTGCAGCAATTCAGGAAACATTCTAAATCACTCTGTATCTATGCCCACACCCCTGTCATCTCTTTATCCCCCTTTTTAACGGCACAATTCACTAGTATGGCCTAATTTAAGTCCTTTGTATACCTCTCTCCCAGGTATTCCGTCTGGTTTCCATACTAGATATCTAATACCACCCCCTTCCCTGCCTGATCATATCTCATCAAAGTTCTGTCATTCTTGCACACTTCACCATCATCCACTAATAGCAATTCAGTTTTTTCCCCCTCTTCATTAAAAATGTTTATATTTTTCTGGGTTAAAAAGATGTAATAAAAGAAGTAAGGGAACCACTGAGAAGAAATATCCTGTTTTTTTATGTAGATGAGGCATTAGACCTAAATTCCAATTTTTTCTGGGT